TCTTTAACTGCTGACACCCATTTTAACATTCTAGTATACTGCTAAAACTTTTGTGTCTTGATACTTTGTAACCTTCAACTGGGTGAAATGCTGCATCACAGGTCAAAACTTTGTCAACAAAGATCCCTCAAATCGGCTAATTTATAAAATGCCAGGACCCATTACTGAAGAGCCGCAGTGGTGCAGGGGTTAGAATTCAGAGTAAACTCTGCACAATCATAGGGAGAGAAGAGCCACACGTGGGCCCTTGGAAAATTTGGATGTGGCTCTCAAAGTCACTTGTAAGGTTGATCAACAGCCTACAACTCTTAACACGAAAAGACAAATCATTAAAAATATTAGACAGAAAATGTATAAAGTATACTTAATATGCTGATGTTTATACTGTTCTGACCCAAGCTTCATCAGACATAATTAAACAAAAACTTATTTTAAAAGCAAAACCTATTTTAATGCAATGCTGGGAATTACTTTCATTCACAGCCAGAACCAATCCCAAGATAAGCATACACCTGTCAGTGCTGTGGAATGCTGCCAAAAACAGAAGTATCCAAATTAATTATAACAGAAACCACCCGAAGTACCAGAAAAAAACGACCAGAATACACAGAGCTTCAAGGAGGACTCAGAATCTATTGAACTGCTTTGCTTCCTGCAAAGCTTTCGTCATTGAGGTCTGACTTTTATCCCTTATGGGAGGGGCAATCACCTCCCAGCCTTACTCCCTAGTCGCCCCTTCTGCTTCAGCTACTCTCACCTTTTAGCAGCTCTGCGCAGATGTGCACTGGGAACAGGCTCCCCGGGGTCCTCTGCTTTGCTGCTGCAAGGCTCCAAAGGCAGCACCCCACTCCCAGATGGTCCTGGCCCCGTCCCTGCATCGGACGCAGGACCCTCATCCAAGTCCTCTCCAGACTCCCTGACTGGTTCCCTTTCTTCCTCACTGTCTGATACCGCTGCCATCTGCTGGCGAACCACAACACATACTACTTGAAAATCAAATTTTAATTTCCTCCTGAGCACAACCAGTTTTTGAAAGATAGGATATTGCCTACCCTCAAAGGCCAGGTGTGATCACAGATAAATTAGTAGTGAATTGGCGTATGCAAATATTTCCTTTTGTGGGAAACTAAAATGAACCATCACACACTCCAGTTAATTTTCCATGCACTTTCCTTCATGGGTAATCAGATCAAATCCCCAAAATGAAAGCTTTTACCACATTTATGCCTTTACTGTATATAGTTAATTTTCACTGTGGATTTTTTGATGGGAAATAAGGTGAGAATTTTGAGTGAAACCCTTTCCACATGCTAGGCACTTATACTGTCGCTGCCCTGTGTGGATCCTTTTATGGGAAGCAAGATTGCTGGAGTGGTTGAAACTTTTTCCACACTCTACACAGTGATAAGGTTTTTCTCCTGTGTGGATCCTTTTGTGGGAAGTGAGTGTGCTAGGGTGACTGAAACTCTTTCCACACTCTGTGCATTGATAGGGTTTCTCTCCTGTGTGGGTCCTTTTGTGGGAAGTGAGGGTGCTAGGATGATTGAAGCTCTTCCCACAGTCCATGCACTGATAGGGTTTCTCCCCTGTATGGACCGCTTTATGGAAAGCAAAGGTGCTAGAAAGATTGAAGCTCTTTCCACAGTCCGGGCATTGATAGGGTTTTTCCCCTGTGTGAATTCTTCTATGGGAAGTAAGATAACTACTTGTCCGGAAGCTACTTCCACACTCTATGCATTTATATGGCTTCTCGCCGGTGTGGATCCTTTTGTGGGAAGTTAAAGAACTGTTTGTCCTGAAGCTCTTTCCACATTCCAAACATGTATATGATTTCTCCCCTGTGTGGATGGTTTTATGGGAAGTAAGGGTATTGTAGTGAGTGAAGCTCTTTCTGCATTCCATGCACTGATGTGGTTTCTCTCCTGTGTGGATCCTTTTATGGGAAGTAAGATCTGTGCTCCTTATGAAGCTCTTTCCACAATCCGTGCATTTATGTGGTTTCTCCTTTTTGTGGATACTCTTATGGGTACTCAGATTACTAGAGTGACTGTAGCTCTTTCCGCACTCTGTGCATTTATAGGGCTTCTCCCCTGTGTGGATCCTTTTATGGGCAGTAAGATCTGTACTCTTTGTGAATCTCTTGCCACACTCCAAGCATTCATACGGTTTCTCCCCTGTGTGGATTCTGATATGGTTGACAAGTTTATCATTCCTCGTGAAGCTCTTTCCACACTCTGTGCATTTATATGGCTTCTCCCCTGTGTGAACTCTAGTGTGGGCGATAAGTTTATCGTTCCTCGTGAAGCACTTTCCACAGTCTGTGCAATTGTATGGTTTCTCCCCTGTATGAATTCTTAAATGGGTGATAAGTCTGTCATTCCTTGTGAAGCTCCTCCCACAAACTATACATTTGTATGAATTCTCTTCGAGGTGGTTCATTTTATGGGAAATAGGTTTGCGGAGGTAGTTGAAGTTGTTTTCATAATCCTTACATTCTAATGTATTTTTCTCCATTTCATCCCCCCAATAAGATGGAGAATTCTGATCACACCGGTTCCTTCTCTGTGTCCATTCACATGGGTGAGTGAAGTTTGATTTTTCTTCAAATATTTTATCAAAGTCTAAATCCTGCCCCATCCTCTTTCTATTAAGATCTTCTTGGGTCAGCAAATCATAGATTTCCAGACATAAAGGAGAATGGTTTATTTCCTGTTGATCGTTTATTTGGATTCCATCTTCACTTATTGGTTGCCATTGATTTTGGATGGTTTCTTCTCCCACTTTAACCTTAAAAACCTGTAAAGGTTTATCTTCTGGTTCCTGGTAAATCTCATTCTTCTGCTCATTGCCTGATTAAGAAAGAAAAAACAATGGAAAAAAGTCATTCCTTCTCTTTCTCATAGAGAAGGCTCATGTAAATAACATGGGACAACCAAGAAATCAAACAACCATATTCAAATTATCCTATTTCAAATACACGCAAAGACCTGAGTCTCCGGAGAAGGCTCCACTACTGGAAAGTTGGAAGATCAGTCTTTTTCACATAAAGAAAAATACAACCATAATAAAGTGGATGGATTTACTTCCAGTGGCAATGAGTATAGTGCTGTGAGCCATTGTAGAGCAGTGGTTAGAATGAATACTTCAGGCTACTTCTGCTGACTGCCGACTGCCTGCAATTCGGCAGTTCAATCCTGACCTGCTCAAGGTTTTGGGGTAACTGCTGGAATCCTGACAGCCTCGGCCTTCCATCCTTTCAAGGTTGGTAAAATGAGGACCCAGATTATTGGGGGCAATATGGTGACTCTGTAAACCTCTTAGAGAGGGCTGTAGAGCACTGTGAAGCGGTATATAAATCTAAGTGCTATTGCTATTGCTGCAAGACCTCAAAACCCAAATCAACATGAAGAAAATCTTATGTGTTTTCAGTCAATCAACCAACCAATCAATCCCACATTTACATTTAATGGAGGAATCCTGAGTTCTAATACTCTGAGTGAGCAAAACATTTTTTTAAATTTTCATTTTTTGCATTGCCCATCATGAATCCTTGATCCAAATTAAAGAATCAAAATCACTATCAACTCTTATCTCTTCACAAGGTGGCTGCCAGAATATGAAGCCGTTTTCTCTATGTCTCAGGAGGAAACACTTGTGCACAACTTGGAGAAGAAGGCCTTATATAGCCAGCAACTACCTTATAAGAAGACGGCAATGGTGAGCTAGGGCAGCAGGGGCCACAGAGTACAGGGGTCCAAAAAAGATATAAAAGGGGAAGATAGCTGTGGGGGGGGGGGAACTAAAGTGGTCCTGTGGTTGTGGATTTTGATCATGTGATTGTGGGGGAAGAACAATGGCTGTAATTTCGGGGACTGGTTGAACGTACCTTTCTTCAGCACCACTGTAACTTTGAATAATTGTTGAACAAGCGGTTATTAAGTGAGGACTACCTCTAAAGTATGAGACCACGTAGAAAAACGGAATATATACCTGGGTAAGGCCTCCTTTCCTGAAGGTCAGCCTATGCAAAGCTAAATGCACTGCATAGTCGAAGGGTTGAACACAGAACATCCAGTGAGGAAGATACCTATGCTTGAAGGTCAATAAAGACCAAGACTAATGCCTACCACCTCCAACAAATCAGTATCAAATATTAACAGGTAGCACTTTGCAAAGGCTGCCTATTTGAAGCTCACTGTCTGGATTGTAGCTCACAGATTCAAATGGCCAGCCTGGTATCTCAAGTGCAGAATACCTTAGAAAGAATCATAAAAGAAAGAACCTTCTCATCACTCCTTATCACCCATCCCCTCCCACTTGTGACTGTATGACTGTAACTTTGTCGCTTGGATCCTTACGATTTATATTGACTGTCTCCTAGTATGATTTGATTGCTTACTGTACCCTATGACTGTCATTAAGTGTTGTACCTTGACGAATGTGTCTTTTCTTTTATGTATACTGAGAGTATTTGCACCAAGACAAATTCCTTGTGTGTTCAACTACGCTTGGCCAATAAAGAATTCTATTCTATTCTATTCTATTCTATTCTATTCTATTCTATTCTATTCTATTCTATTCTATTCTATCCTATGCTATGCTATGCTATGCTATGCTATTCTACCCTGTTTCTCCAACAATATGGCCTCCCCCAATAGGAAGTCCCAGTATGTTTTATAGGCATGAAATGAAATTAAGCCCCTCCCCACAAATTAAGGCCTATATTAAAACATGCGAAATGGGGGGGAATGGTGGGGGGGCTTGCCGTTAGGAAGCACTTTTGTTGCACACCCAGATATGGTGCTGCCTGCATTGACCCCGATATGAAGTGCCCCACCAACGTCGAGGTCAACATCCAAGCCATCGCTGCCCGCCCTCCCGCCCGAAGATACAAGGGGGGGGGAATTAAGTCACCCCCGAAAAGACGGCCTAGCCATTTTTTCGGGGCTCAAAAAAAAAAAAGACCCGGCCTTATTATATGACAAACACGGTATTCTATTCTAAAACAGATGGCTTCCAATTACAAAACACCATATTTGGATAGGGGATTTCTTACACAGAGAAGCTACATTCCAGGAGGTCTCCAGCATGACTTCTCCATGCAAAGCTTTCTGTTTGGGATCAAGCAGGTCCCACTCCTCCTCGGTAAAGAAGACAAACAACTCCTTAAATGATATGGTACCCTGAAAGAGGAAGGAAAAGTTTCTTACTAATAGAAAAGCTGAAGAAAGTAAAGTTTTCTCAGAAACCCTTGAAGCAATGAAATTCACAAATGTTTTCCTGGCTGTCCCAAAGATGCTTTTTCAAGAGGCAACTGGACTTTCTAATTTTTCCTTAAAGATGTTTTGCTTCTCATCCAAGAAGCTTCTTCAGCTCTGAGTGGATGGAGGGGAATGGAAGGAGTTATACTGAGTGGATGGAGGGGAATGGAAGGAGTTATTGCAGATAGCTGGTCATTTGCATTCTTTTTAGAGTAGTTGAGGCCATATGGAGGTTTATCTGCGTCACCAGGTTCACCTGAGTAGAGCAAATGGGTGTGGAGCTTTCTTGGGAGCACTGAAAGGACTGTGTTGTAGCAACACAGATAAATCTCCAAGCGGCCTCAATGACTCTCTAAAAAGAATGCAAATGACCATCTGTCTGCAAGGAGTATAAATCCTTCCATTCCCCTCTATCCACTCGGAGCTGAAGAAGCTTTTTGGATGAGAAGTGAAACATCTTCAAAGAAAAACAAGAAAGTCCTGTTGCCTCTTGAAAAAAGCACCTTTGGGACAACTATGACATGGATGACTAAGAATATCCAGAGATATTTTCCTGGCTGGTTTCAGAATGTGAGAGTGTACAGGGAATGATTTCATTCTCCATCATCTTTTGGCACCACCTTGGTCCCAAAGGTTGACTAAATTCACTACATCTCCCAGGACTCAATGCCCCTGAATGCCCAATCAAAAACTCATTCCTGAGCCATCAGTTCCAGCTCTGTTTTCCATCCTCCAGAGCTGCTCCAGCTCTATCCTTTTATTGGAAAGTAGCTGACCAAGATAAGGACAAGCCAGGTGGATGTCCAGAATTGGAAACGGTGTCAAACTGGAACAGAGATTAAATTTTCTGGGGGGAGGGGGTAGAGAGATGGACTGAATACTTCTTGCTTTAATTATATTTACACTTTTTGGGGCACAGGAAATTTTCCTCCTACCTGCCCTGGAAGCCCAACATTGGTTTCAGTTTCACCAGAAAGAGATGTTTCTCCTAACACCACCTGGTATATGATTCCGTTCTCTGCAACCAAAACATGGAGGAAATTGTTTTTTTTATTAAAAAAGAATGCTTTATAAATGCAGAGGTAAAATAGAAACAAATATCGCTGGAAGCATACAGGCCATTTACTTTAGAAGAACACGAATGAAAACCGTTTGAGGAAGAATTTCACTGCATCAGAAGGAATCCTCCCTGGGCATGGCACAAAGGCAGCACAGTCACATAAGTAAGAAGAGTCCCTTTAATACCTCCAACTTTGCCCCCAATGTCCAGGTTACGTTCGGCTGGAGAAAAAACTCTCCCAAGAACAGTCTTTAAGTGGAGGAAATTAAGTCCGAAAACAAAGTACATACAAACTGTAAATAAAAATCCACACAAACCGCGCTGCAGCAATTAACTTGACAGGGCAGGAGAAAGAATTCCAGACTTGAAAAGCCAGCAAAATACACAGTTGAAAAGACGGCAGGAACCCAGATAAGCCTCAACAGTAATAGATAACTCATGATTTGCTTCCAACAAGTTGCTGTGTGCAGCTTTCCTTTTTAAACACTGTGTTCCCAGCTGCAGCTGATGAAGGGAATCAGGGCCCTTTCCTCCCCCATAAGTCACGCAACTCACATTGCTCCCTTTTCCATTCCTCCCTGCGTACCCTAGGATGATGAGGGGGTGGGCCTGGATCATCCTCCGAGTTCTCTCTGCTTTGCTCTACCTCTCCCCTGCTCTGCCCAGCCGGACTGTGTCCTTCCCCACTTTCTTCCACAGCCAATGTAGCCACACTCCCACTCCCTGTCAGCTGCTCAGCCTCCCCCTCAGAATCAAATTCTGACAGGGGCATGACACTCCCTTACCTGGTGACAAATCCCAATTTAGATCCTTTGGAGAGATTCCCCCAAGGAAATTGTCCTGACAAAGATTTACTGGATCCCTTCTGGCCTTAGGAACCTCGGTGATTAACCCCAGGAAGGACGCCTCCACCTGCAACTGTGGAGAGCAACAAAGAAGGGTGTGAAGTGCATGTGAAAATACAGAACAATCTTGATTTAAAAGCATTTGGGCAGGGCCATATACAAATGCCCCAAATATTTAAGACTGGAATAATTCCCACCCTGCCCCTTGAAACCAACCTGCATCTCTCCTTGGTCCTTTTCTTCTGCCTGGCTCAGAAGGAAGCCTTCAGCCAGGGCCACTGCCTGGGAACTGGTCTCAGGTTCGCATTCCCGCACCCACGTCCCCATCTCCGGTGGCATGATGGCCAGGAACTGCTCCAGGACCACCATGTCCAGCATCTCAGCTTTTGTGTGCTTTTCAGGGTTCAGCCATCGATTGCAAAAGTGATGAAGACGACTGCAGAGTCCTCGGGGACCCTCAGCATCCTGGTAGTGGAACTCCCTGAAGGGTTGTCTGTTTGCACCAAAAATGACTGTTTCTTCATTTTGGATCTTCAATCCTGCCTTTTCTTGAATTATCGCACTGCCTTCCATATGAAGAGAACCACAAAGTGCCAATCCTTCCCAAGCTGCTCTTCCTCGGTTCATTTTTTCCCTCTGGGCTCAACTGCAATTCCCAAATTGCAAAGAAGTCTTTAAAGCTTCTTTCGTTCTCAAGGTGTGAGATTTTATCCTTTTGTTCTCAGGACCGGAAATTTATAAAAATTGTAAGGATGAATTTAACAATGAGGCTGCTCATTCATCTTTCCCGCTCAACTTTTCTTGCCTCTGTATAAGGAAGAGTTTCAGAGCCGCAAATTACCTCATATTCCCAACCTGCAATGCAAATAATGGAAAAGACCCTCCGTGTATTGTCCCAAAGGTGCTTTTTTTTTTTTTCCAAAAGGCAACTGACCTTTCTTTGTTTTTGCTTGAAGACATTTTGCTTCTGAAGAAGCTTCTTGGATGAGAAGTGAAACTTCTTGAAGCAAGAACAAAGAAAGTCTAGTTGCCATGTGTGTGCGTGCGTGTGTGTGTGAGAGATCCCATGACCCCTGGTGCCTCTTCCCTGCCAGAGTCTCCCCCATGCTACAGATCTAGGAAAGGAGCTCCAACACTGTGATTAATATGTGTGTGTGTATATATATATCCATATACATTTTTATTTTTTAATTATTTTTTATTTTTCCAGGTTTTGTTCTTTTGTACTTCGTTAATTTATTTGATTCTTTTTGTTAGTTACTATTGTTTTTTTTTTAAATATGGTTTTACATTGTGTAAGCCACCTCAAGTCGCCATGGGCAAATAGGCGGTAATATAAACTAAATAAATAAATAAATAAATATATAAATAAATAAATAAATATGTATGTATATGTATTTACCAGTTTATACACACACACACCATACACACACACACGTACGTGTATGTGTATACCGGTATATACATACATATACACACATACATATATAAATACCAACTCTCTTCATACTTTACATCAATGACCTCTGTGATCACATTAAGAGCAACTGCGTTCTCTTTGCTGATGACGTAAAGCTATTCAACACCACTGACAATACTGCTACCCTTCAGAAAGACCTTGGCTATATCAGAATGGTCAAACAAATGGCAACTTCAAATCTCAACAAATAAATGCTCTGTCTTACATATTGGCAAAAAAAACCTCAGAAAATAAAATACAAGCTGAATAGTCAAGACCTTGTTGATGATCCAAACTCTGGAGTACTCATCTCTAATGATCTAAGTGCTAGAACCCACTATAACTACATAGCCAAAAAGGCATTAAGAGTTGTTAACCTAATCCTGCATAGCTTTTTCTCAGTAATATCGCACTACTAACTACAGCATACAAAACATTTGCTAGACCAATACTTGAATACAGCTCATCAGTCTGGAACTCTCATTACGTATCTGATATTAATACAGTTGAAAAAGTCCAGAAATATTTCACAAGAAGAGTTCTCCACTTCTCTACTCGTTGCAGAATACCTTATGCCACCAGACTTGAAATTCTAGAACTAGAAAACCTAGAACTACGCCACCTTTGGTCCAATCTAAGTATAGTACATAAAATTATACATTGCAATATCCTACCTGTTAATGAATACTTCAGCTTCAACCATAACAACACAAGAGCAAACAATAGATACAAACTCAAGGTTAATTGCACCAAACTTGATTGCAGGAAATAGGACTTCAGCAACAGAGTGGTCAATGTCTGGAATACTCTACCTGACTCTGTGGTTTCTTCCCCAAACCCCAAAAACTTTAACCTTAGACTGTCTACTATTGACCTCACCCCTTTCCTAAGAGGTCTGTAGGGGGCGTGCATAAGCGCACCAACCGTCCCTGTGCTATTGTTTCTTTTTATTTTTTCTTATATGTATCCATTTCATGTATTCATAACTATGTTTATACTTATATCTGTTATCTTTTAATCGCTTGACAAATAAAATAAATACATAAAATAAACAAACATGTATACACACGCATACCCACGCAATGTATATACATATGTACGTATACATATATACATATGTATATACATTTTGTTTGTGTATATGTGTGTATACATGTATATATACATACACATACATTAATCATAGTATTGCGGCTCCTTTCCTGATCTACAGCGGGGAGGGGCGGGGGGGGGGTCTGTGGCAGGGAAGGGGCACTAGGGTTCGGGTGGATCAGAGGGCGCGCTGTTTCCGCCTCCTCCTGCCTGGGAGGAGCTAGACTCACTCCGGATTGAGAGACCCTGCTTGCTCCGGCCGGAGAATAGGAGGTCCGCGGGTATCCAGAGCGAACCCCGCATCCCGGACTCACCTGCATCAGACACCCCTAAAGGCTCCAGGAGGCACTCCTGTTTCCGGCTCCGCCCACGTCCAGCCTCCAGCAGGACAGGCAGCCGAACCTCCCCGCAACCTCCCAGTAAGTAGGCGGGCCACTTTCTCGCCAAGGATCCCGCCTCCCGCGTCGAGATTGGACGAGGGGCAAGATGGTTGGCCAATGGAAGTGCAGCGCGGCTGAAGGCGTCTGCGGTTGCTGTGCAGACTTAAACTGCCCGCCGCCCTCCTTTGAAGTTGATCGTGGCTCGCTTCTTCTCTCGGCCGCGAGAACTGCGCTCCCCGCAGCTCCGTTAGACCTAGCGGCTTTTTAAGCCCGCTCAAAGGAGGCAGGATGGAAGGGAACCGGCCAGGACCCAAAGCTTCATCCGAAGGGTGACTTTAGAAGTTGGGAAGCAGGAGGAAGGACTTCCCCACCCCCGGGGAGAAGCAGAGGAGCCTGAAGGAGTTTGAGAGGAAATTCGATTGTCGGAAAGACCAGCTATTTGGCAAAGCTGAGGGGAGAAGAACTTGACCCAGGACAGATCCTGGCTTAAAAAACGAACCAGTAGGACAATATGGCCATCAATTATCAGTCAATGGACAAAGCTGTGGTAAAAAGTTATATTTATAACATAAAATTTTCCCTCATAAAAACACTGAGAAGGGAGGCATATATAAATGTGCTCACTGGAAAAGAACTATAAGGTCTTGACCTATCAATGAACCAATAGACCAATACGGCCATCAATTATTGGTCAATAGACTGTTGGGAGTTAAAACCCACCCCTCTCCTAGGAAAATGAAATATTTCAGGATATACTAAAAAGGCAGAATATTTCCCCTAAAAAGAAAAGTGGAAATTCAGAGAGGCAGAAACTCAGCCCCCACCTTTGCTTAATGGGCCATTACTCTGGCCTGGGCCAGTCTATTTTACATAACAAAGATCTACTCCAGGTAGAGCTATAATAGGAATTGCCCAAAGCCCTTTCATTACCTCATCATCCAGCAAGGCTCAAGCCTGGGATTCAGGACAGCCTACAGAGTTGCCCCTGCATGGCCCCATGGGAGTCTGACAACCAATCAGAATACAAGCTCAAATTCAAATCCCAACAGAGGGCATAAAACCAAGGGTCTCTCAGCATCTTGCCCTTTCTTCTTTTCCTTCACCTGACATCTTGTAGCATGTGATCGTCCTTTTCACTTGGAGCTCCAAGCCATGTGGTCCTGCCCATAATTAAACCATCTTTCCAAACAGCCTCCATGTTTCCAGTGTCCTATTCCCCACTTGGAACTGAACCCAGAAGGATAATTCTTCCAACAAGACAAGGCAGTGGTAGAAATGGAGTTTCCCTCATTAAAAACACTAAGGGAGAAGAAAGGCATATGTAAAAGTGCTGAAACTGAAGAAGAGAGTCATCTAATGTAAAGTCCAGACCAGTCGTGGGATTCAAACTTTTTTAGTACAGGTTCTGTGGGCGTGGCTTATTTGATGGGCATGGCTTGGTCATGTGACTGGGTGGACATGCCTTGGTGGTCATGTGACTAGGTGGGCATAGCCAACAATGTCACTCACAGCAAGGGGTGCCTCGCCTGGCCCTTCTCCTCCCAGCCATTCCTTGTCACACCTGGCCTCAAGGTATCTATAGTTCTGCAAAAATGTTCCCTTTTTTTGACTTTATTATCTACATACTATAGATGTACTTTAATGGACCACTGAAAGGAGGAAATGGCTCACATGCTTTGCCCAAGAGGGTGATAAGCAACAGGCTTTTAAGGGGCTGCCAGTAAGGGGAGGGCAATGTATTTTAGAAGGCAAACCAGAAGCAATGGATGGAAATTGAAAAGAGAGAAGCAACCTAAAACTACGAGAAGCTTCCTGACAGTGAGAACAATTAACCAGTGGACCTGCTCGTCTCCAAGAAGTTCTGGGTGCTGAATCACTGGAAGTTTTTAAGAAGACTGGATTTAAAGTTACAGTTTTTGTTGACCACACTTTGGACTTGATTCTCTGCAGCCTGTTCCTGGGAGAGTTTTTCTTCAGCCAGAAGGTAACCAGGACATTGGGGACAAAGTTGGAGCTAATAAAGGGACTCCTATTGATTATCTGACTGTGTTGCCTTTGTGCCACGCACTGGGTCATCACAACTTTGTGAATCAACCTGCTGAACTTCCTGCAGATGCTGAATGTTATTGAAAACTGCCTTTCTTTGGGACTTAACTACTAAACCAGGTAGATTTTTTTAAAAATAAATAAATAGATAATTCGACTTAATTAAATCTGGTGGTTTTAGGATCGGTTAGGTGGTCCCATTTAATAATCAGGGAAGATCTAAAAAACAAGATAGGGACAGATCATCATGGAGAAAATCTATCTACGTGATCATTAAGAGTCAACACTGACTTGATGGTACATCATTAATTGATCAATTTAATAATCAAGCAGTCATCTTTAGTTCCAATAGCAATTTAGAGACCATATTCAATCAAATTGCACTGCAGAAATCTCTAGACTAGAGACCTTGAGATTTCATGCATATTAAGGAATTCTGGTATTGCTCCCTCTTGTAAGGTTGAAGCCTTGACATTGCAAGAAAAATCATTAAAAATACAAAGGAATAAATATATAGTGTATACTTATGTTGATAAATGAAAGAAAATCAAATGTACATTTTTTTCCTGGACCCATCATCTGAAAAATGGAACACTGCTTATCATCAAAGACCACATACATATAGTGTTCAACTTATGACGAAAATTTATGCTGCTAAGTGAGACATTTACTAAGCGAGTTTTGTCCCATTTTACAATCTTTTCTGGCAGAGTTTAAGTGAATCATTCCAGTTGTTAAGCTAGTAACATGGTTGTTAAGTGAATCTGGCTTCCCTATTGACTGTCAAAAAGTCGCAAAAGTTGATCACCATGATCTTGGGTCACTGGTTGATCATAAGTATCAACCAGCTGCCAAGCATCGAAATGACCTTGGGGAT